CATATACAAACTTTCCATCATGATACGGGTAAATGCTTTGTGATAATGCTGCCTAGGATACTCCTATCTACATACAATATTATTAAATTGAGCTACACTTGCAACTCAACACACACGTGACAATGTTACCTAAAGTTGTAAGATTCACACAGTTTTGACAATGTTTAGCACAATGTTGCTTTAAGTTTCTCATTCTATACAGACGTAATAAAGTTACCCTAAACTCTCAGCCCTATTTACACACTCAATTAGATCATGTTGCATAAACGTTACATCGCCACAAAATATACTAATGCTGATCTAAGCTTTTTTTACCTATATATCTATATCTACTTGCAATATAACTTGTGTTGTTTAAAATGGAGGTGCCTCACACAATTGACATGTATTTTATTACTTCCCTTATACGAATTAATATAATCAAGGATACAACTTAAACATATCATCGAAACTATGTATTAAAATAAATATCATTTACATATTATATGATGGTATAATTGTACCAACATGTCAAACAAAACAAATATTATTTTATCAGCAATATTGAAAAACCATTTTGTTTTGTTTCTAAAATTCCTTTTTTTTAATTAAAAATTAATAAAAATCAAACACCTTAGGTATGTTCCAATTTATTTCCTAGACGTTTAATCATTGATAATTTTCAATGTTATTGACCAATTGCAAAAATGTTGTTATTATTCTTATACTGCAGAGACAGTACGAGATTACAGAGACCCTTCTCCTACAGTCGTTTCTATTTCTGTCCATGGGTGACTACAGTGTGAACTTTTGACTCCGCAGCACACTAAACTAAGCAGTGAAGAGAAACCTAGTTTGCACACCTTATTTTAATCTAGTTCTTATGCCATTTTATTTTTTCCCTTTGATTATTATATATGCAATTGATGTTCATTGTTCATGTCTTTGATGCTATGTAAAATCTATCAAATATACTATTATTACTGATTTAAATGTTTAAAACAATTGAATTACTAAAAATAAAAATAAAAAAATCTACCCCCTTCTCTCTCCCCCTCTATCCACTTTACCCCCAGACATGATAACCCCACAATCCCTTTAACTGTTCCAACGACCCCACCACCCACCGCAACATCAATATCCAGAACTTATTTAAAGTTCTAAATCTTGTCTCTTTCCCCTCATCTTTCACACTGCAACCTTTTGAAAACTCAATGCGACCACTACAACACCCTTTCAACTAGTCAACTTAAGTTGTTTCCCTACATAGAAAATGCTTCACTGTCCCATTGACCCTCTCTGAAAAATTTCCTTTCCTCTCCCCACCCAGACTTCTGACACTTTCATTTGACCTTCACCCCTTTTACTGTCATCCTTTGTAATTTTTTATAATCAAATACATGACATCATGTAAATATTCATTATGTACATTTGCAAAACCTGTCGTTTTCATTTGGTGTTCAAAATTATGTCAAAAAACTTGATGTTGATGTACTTGTTTTAATTGCAAAAAATAGTATATATATATATATATATAAAAAAAAAAAAAGTCTAGTTCTTATGCCAATTTATTTTCTTCTTTTGATTATTATATATGCAATTGATGTTCATGTCTTTGATGCTGTGTAAAACTATCAAATAAATTATTATTACTGATTTAAATGTTTAAAACAATTGAATTAATAAACATAAAAAAAAAACTGTTAAAAAAAAAAAAAAAAAAAAAAAAAATACTGCAGAGACACATCTCCCCCAGTCGTTTCTATTTCTGTCCATGGGTGGCTACAATGTGAACTTTTGACTCAGCTAAGGACAGAACACAGTAAACTAAGCAGTCAAAAGAAACCTTTTTTGCACACCTTATTTTAGTCTAGTTCTTATGCCATTTTATTTTCTCCATTTGATTATTATATATGCAATTGATGCTCATGTCTTTGATGCTGTGTAAAATCTATCAAATGAATAATTATTACTGATTTAAATGTTTAAAACAATTGAATTACTAAAAAAATTAAAAAAAAAGGAAAAAAAACTAATTGAGGACTGTATAGATATAGATGTTTGAAAGGGAAGAGTGTTTGCTTTTACGTGTCTCATTGTAATAACATAGCTTTTCCGATTTCTTAAAATTTGTATCATTTTAATTCTCTGTAATCCCAAATTCATTTCAGCTCTACTTTAAAAAAAAAAACAAATTCCCCCTCCCCCCCCCCCCCCCCCCTCGTCCCCTCAGCCCACCACGCCGAGAAAAAAAAATCCCTTGAATCATCATTTAATTACACATTTGCATTTTCAGTTTCAGGTTGGTTTTTAATTTTAATTTTTTCTTTATATTTAGACGTTTTGTATTAGATCTATGTATAAGTAAACCATCTTAAATGAAAGAAAGCAGGCTACAAGTAAGAAAGAAATATTACTATTGTAAATCTGTATCAGTCATCACAAGCCGATGATGAAAACTGTAATACTAAAGCGAACACACAACGGACGCTATAAATTACGTGTCTGAGGGAAAAAAAATAATAATAATAATAATAATAATATGGTGTGTATACAGCAGGTTTGCGGACAACAAATTCAGATGAGGCTGACACTGTCAAAAGTATATACTGTCTATAAAAATTCCATTTCTTTCTGGGGGGGGGGGGTGCTGTAGAAGAGATAACGACCTCGGATGTGTGTTGGAAGTATGTTAGCACCACGTCGTTGTTGGCATAGAGTCTGATAACAGTTGGAACGTTTCTGTAACATCTTGGTCTGGTACTTGACTAGACAACAAACGATGAAACGTTTATCGTTGCTGGTTTCATATTGTAGAGGTTAATATACATATTGATGTGTATGTATTGTGTATTCTTACACTGGCTTATTTTCCAAAGCGAGAAAAATATTAAATAAAGCAATTGACATATTTTGAATTTTAAAGTTTTTTTTTTTTTTTTATTTCTACACGAACAGTGTATTCATAATTCTAACTCTACTGTCCTACACTTTACTTCTACTAACTGACTATGACTTTCTATTAGTATAAAATATTTACTATTTATATTGAAATCTAGCAAATCCAACTCAACTGACAATCCCCTAACACTATAATGTCTAACTGTTTACTACACGTTCGAGCCACCAACTGCCCTAACGCTTTGATTGATCAGCTGACCGTCACACGTGACCACGGTCGGTTCGTTTTTAATTGATCGGGCTATTTGATTTGTTGTATTTCTTTGGTTTAGCTCGGCTATTTCCTAACTTCTAAATGTAATTACGTACTTATGTTAACATTACTAAATAAATTATGCATTCGTAATTTTATTATAAAACATTTTAATACGTAGATACTGACTTGTGTCAGTGCAGGTGAGCATAGCAATTAAATTTACAAAACAGTTGCATACAATGTTGTATCTGGTTTCTTGTCATAGTTTCTACTTATCAAATGTGTACATTAGTTTTAACAAGAGAATTACAACTTTATTACTTGCTCGTGTAATAGGTTTGCTAATATTAACTTAAGTAAATTTAAATTATATTTTGTTGTTTATTTGTGTCTACACTACCTAGCACAATCGAGGACATTAGTTTTACATAGATGCGCCTAATTTCACAGTTACCTGAGCATTTTAGTCGCTAGACACGCTACCTAATACAAACAACAACCATCGGTAGTTTAATGAGTGCAATGGGAATCTCCATGTAATACTTACATTAATTATCTTAATACGTCACATATTGTTTTGGTTTATTTAACATAAACTCAAAACGTACACCTTTCCATATTTTCTGCTTACGAGAGGCGAAAAGAGAATTTATTTATTATTACCGTTATCAATTGCTATGTTAATAAGCTATCTGCGCTCTTCAAATTATTGATTTACATTGTAGCGCTAAAAAGGTGAATGAATCGTTTTTAAAATAATTTGATTTAGATGTAATTCTGAGTTAGGTTAAACAATTCTAAATAAATTGCTAACTTCTATTAATAGACTTTGGTTTTCTTTACATTTCATTAGAGTTTTGTAATTCTGTTTATCATTAAACGTTATTCTAAAGATCAAAGTCTTTTTTTCATAAATCACGAGATTTATATAATGATAGAACTATGGTGCCGCCTGACCCCGCGATGTTGGTAGGGGGTAGGGGGGGGGTCAGGCTATTTTGAGGGCCCACCGCTGACCATAATTATTTTTTTCTTATAATTAAAAAAAATCGTGCATTTTTGACTTGATTGCTGTTGTGTAAAGAGAAAACTGTAACTGCGGTGGATCATCTTTATTCTGTAAGGTCTATCCCACGCTCTTGTATATTCTTTTCCCCTATGTTTTTAAACCATTGCGAATGCCGAGCCCTCTTTCTCCTGATATTGTCGACAAAGTTTTCTAAAAAGAAAAAAAAATCCATTGCGCGTGAGGCTGCTATAGGCCTACATGTAAACGATTTTTATGCTACATTTTAGCGGCATAAACAGTTCCCGTTTTCTCTTTAACCCTGGCGCTACGTTATGATATCTAATCATCGTTATATAAAACAATACTCTTTTTAAAATCATAGACAGACTTAACTTAAATTTCTGCTGAACTTTTATATAGTTTCAAACACAAGTTTGACATTGTGTTATCTGCTTCAAATTGTAATCAAAATGTGGTCTGTGAATGTGAAATAAATAACATTTGAAAGAACAGATTACTGGACATGTTGAATTTCTTGAAAACGAACTGCGGCGTTAATTCCCTGAGCTGACAGAAATAGAAACTACATTGACACCTATACCATTATCTGCTTCCCTTGATGCTGCCAGCATTTTTAATTATGTAAATAACATATAAATTGCTATTGCCTGGCTGTAATGAATCATCGCTAAAAGAAAGAATAAGTGAGTTGGGAATAAAGTAGTGCTAACAGAAAGAAAGTGAATTGTCAATGAATCATCGCATAAAAAAAAAATTGGTGAATAAAGGGAAGTGATTATCGCTTGGAAGAAATTGTCGCAAGTAATTTGTTATTGAAAAAAAAATACTAAAAGAATGGAAGAAATGGTCGCTAATAAAATTGATAAATGGGTGAGTGAGGAAAAAGCTATAAAAAACCCAGAAGAAATAATTAGGGGGGGGGATACAATTATCAATAATAGAGAGAAGCAAGAATATCACTTGAAATACATCTAACCGACACAATGTGAACAAACTTTTGTTTCTAATGCAATAAACCAGGAGAGCTCGTCTGTGCCAGTCTCTAACAGAAAGGTCAAGGATTTCTTAGACACACTTCTCACAGCACGAGATGAAGACGGGAATGGAATGACGGCGTTAGAGATACGAAACGAGGTGGACACTTTCTTGTTTGAAGGTAGGCTACTGGCTACATTTTATGTATATTCTTACAACTGCTAGCTAGATGGTAGCTACCGGCTTCTCAGTTACACATGCATTTCCTACAACTTCTAGTTAGAAGGAAGCTACTGGATACCATGGTAGCCATGTATTTCCCTACAACTACTAGCTAGAAGGTAGCTCCAGGCTACCCAAGTACCAATGTATATCCCTATAACTGCTAGTTAAACGTTAACCAATGGCTACCTTGGTCGCAGTTTGCTACCATCATAACCATGCATTTCCCTACAACTGCTAGCTAGAAAGTAGCTACACGTTACCTAGGTACCCATCTATTTCCTTAGAGTTGTTAGTTAGAAGGTAGCTACATGCTACCATCCTACCCATCTATGACCATACAACTGCTAGCTAAAATGTAGCCCAATGCTACCCATCTACCCACGTATCCCCTCCATCTTATAACTAGAATGTAGCCACGAGCTATCAATCTACCCACGTATCCCCTCCATCTTATAACTAGAATGTAGCCACTAGCTACTAATCTACCCACGTATCCCCTCCATCTTATAACTAGAATGTAGCCACGAGCTACCAATCTACCCACGTATCCCCTCCATCTACCCACATATCCCCTCCATCTACCCACGTATCCCCTCCATCTACCCACGTATCCCCTCCATCTACCCACGTATCCCCTCCATCTACCCACGTATCCAATCCATCTACCCACGTATCCCCTCAATCTACCCACGTATCCCCTCCATCTACCCACGTATCCCCTCCATCTACCCACGTATCCCCTCCATCTACCCACGTATCCCCTCCATCTACCCACGTATCCCCTCCATCTACCCACGTATCCCCTCCATCTACCCACGTATCCCCTCCATCTACCCATGTATCCCCTCCATCTTATAACTAGAATGTAGCCACTAGCTACTAATCTACCCACGTATCCCCTCCATCTTATAGCTAGAATGTAGCCACTGGCTACCCATCTACCCACGTATCCCCTCCATCTACCCACGTATCCCCTCCATCTACCCACGTATCCCCTCCATCTACCCACGTATCCCCTCCATCTACCCACGTATCCCCTCCATCTACCCACGTATCCCCTCCATCTACCCACGTATCCCCTCCATCTACCCACGTATCCCCTCCATCTACCCACGTATCCCCTCCATCTACCCACGTATCCCCTCCAACTACCCACGTATCCCCTCCATCTACCAGGCCACGACACGACGGCCAGCGGGATGACGTGGGCACTGTACGAGCTGGCCAAACACCCAGAGCACCAGGAGAGGATTTACGACGAGGTCAAGGACGTCTTGGACGGCAGGGAGCATCTGGACTGGTCAGTCGACTTGTTTTATTGGACGGCAGGGAGCATCTGGACTGGTCAGTCGACTTGTTTTATTGGACGGCAGGGAGCATCTGGACTGGTCAGTCGACTTGTTTTATTGGACGGCAGGGAGCATCTGGACTGGTCAGTCGACTTGTTTTATTGGACGGCAGGGAGCATCTGGACTGGTCAGTCGACTTGTTTTATTGGACGGCAGGGAGCATCTGAACTGGTCAGTTGACTTGGTTTATTGGACGGCAGGGAGCATCTGGACTGGTCAGTCGACTTGTTTTATTGGACGGCAGGGAGCATCTGGACTGGTCAGTCGACTTGTTTTATTGGACGGCAGGGAGCATCTGAACTGGTCAGTTGACTTGGTTTATTGGACGGCAGGGAGCATCTGGACTGGTCAGTCGACTTGTTTTATTGGACGGCAGGGAGCATCTGGACTGGTCAGTCGACTTGTTTTATTGGACGGCAGGGAGCATCTGGACTGGTCAGTCGACTTGTTTTATTGGACGGCAGGGAGCATCTGGACTGGTCAGTCGACTTGTTTTATTGGACGGCAGGGAGCATCTGGACTGGTCAGTCGACTTGTTTTATTGGACGGCAGGGAGCATCTGGACTGGTCAGTCGACTTGTTTTATTGGACGGCAGGGAGCATCTTAACTGGTCAGTTGACTTGTTTTATTGGACGGCAGGGAGCATCTGAACTGGTCAGTCGACGTATTTGCTAACCATACACATGGTCATTCGACTTGTTTCGCTAACCATACACATGGTCAGTCGACGTATTTGCTAACCATACACATGGTCAGTCGACTTGTTTTACTAACCATACACATGGTCAGTTGACTTGTTTTGCTAACCATACACATGGTCAGTCGACTTGTTTTGCTAACCATACACATGCATTGATGCCCCATTCCTTTTAAATAGTTTGACATTTCAAATCATTAACAGACAGAGTGGAACAGGACAAAGACTTCCTTTTTTAACGGATAATATATTTCTACATCTTTTCTACAGATTGCTTTGTATATTGATTAAGCTATTCTATCAGTGACGTAGGCAAGGGGGGTGGTTAGGAGGGGGATATAACCCCTCCCATGGAACCCTATATATATATATATATATATATATATATATATATATATATATATATATATATATATATATATATATATATATATATATATATATATATGTATATATATATATATATATATATATATATATATATATATATATATATATATATATATATATATATATATATATATATATATATATACATATATAGGAGTGTATACATATTGAACAGTATTTGAACCCCTCCCATGACCAATTCCTGGCTTCGCCACTGTATTCTATGGATGTATAATTTTTAATTCTTACAGTACAATAATTGAATCAACCACACTTACACATGTGAACATATAATTTTTTATTTGCCAGTTTCTTCCATGGATCTCTTCGAGGGGCGCGAAGCCCCCCCCCCCCCCCCGAAAAAAATTTTACCGCCCCACTGAACGAAATGAAATTTATATAATTTATATAGAAAATATATTCTTTTAACAGTGTCCGCCCCCCCCCCCCTCCCGAAGAAAGTCTACCGCCCCCCCCCCCCCGAAAATTTCAAGTGCCACCCCCCTGGAGAAAAAAGTCTGGAAGAAACACTGGTTATTGCCTGGTTGTAACTGCTTTAATTATAGTCCCGTAGATCTAAACGTTATAAAAGAAGTGCTAATAATTATGTACTTCAGGAATGATCTTCCGAAGCTGGAGTTCACAACGATGTGCATCAAAGAAGGTCTCAGGCTTCACTCGGCTATTCCAGCTATTGAGAGAACAACGGTGGGAGAGTGTGTGATTAATGGAATCTCATTTCCTGCTGGTAAATAATAGAAACTCTGTATGTAAACAATTTTTTATTTTATTTTTTTTTAATTTTTTTTGTCCTAAAGAAAGAATATATCATATCGATTTTGTAAGCACATTCAGTTTTTTTGTAAAGAAAGAATGTATCACACTAACTCAAAGTAAAATCTTGTTAAATAATAACTAAAAAAGTTGAATTGATTGAGATGCAAGGAAAATTAAAGCTACAACTATATGTTTATACGATATTATTTATATTTGAAAGTTAAGATAAAAAGTTTACAACAGAGGAATGAGATATCAATGTTGACAGCTTCTAGTATTCTTCAGAGTCTATAGATTTACTGTATCTTCTTTTAATTAATGTGGAAGGGAATTAAGTATTGCGTGTCAACTGGTTATGCCATCTGTCTCTGACTTCACCCTGCTCTTCTTTTTGGAGTTGCTTCCATAGCCTTTGTCCAAGAACGAACTACAGGGTAGCAGTTGTTTTGAAGAATGGCTCTCCCCAGCTAACGAGCCTCATCTGCCCAAGGATTCGAACTCGAGACTTTTCGGTTTAGCAGCCATGAACTTTTATCGACTCGACCCCTAGTTTTACTGCATGATGTTGGTTATACACATTTATTCATACTTTTGAGATACGTTTAGTTTTCAAACACAACGTGCCCCACCTACTCAGTATTTCTTCACTTGGTTTTTGATGTCATCAGCTGTGAAAAAAAAACAAAAACGTAATGTGATTTTATTTCTCTATCCGTTCTGAAAGGGACACGGGTCGCAATCCAGCTGTGGATACTACACCACAATCCACACATTTGGGAGGATCTACACGTTTACAACCCAGAGAGGTTTCACCAGACAACCAGGCCAACATGGATCCGTTCCAGTTCCTTCCCTTCTCCGCGGGGTCAAGGTCACTGTGTCTAATTATAGTGTCCAGACTCGCTTTCATTCAATTCAAAACAAGATACAACGCTCTGTTGACTGAGTTAAACACTGTATATCTTCCCGTGTTGACACTGTACACATTAATCTCTTACTCGCTCGATGTTACCTAAAATCCCCCAACCCAAAAAAAAAATAAATAAATAAAAAAAAATTAAAATTCATTCCGCTTTTATAAACGGATTCGAGCTAGGAACAACCGCACTATCCCCGTTTTATAGATAATAATACCTTAAACTCCAAAATGACCCATAACAACCGATATTTAAAAACCATTCCGCTTTTTGAAAATTGTATTAAATTGAGTAATTAATTATTCCTATTTTGACATTTTAATTAGTTGGCCGCTATTTAGGTTGAAAGTAGACTCGTTATTAAGATGTTTGTAAGTCTTGTATATATGTAAATATTTTGCGAAGGGTTTTAATCAATGTTTTTAAAGCCTTTGATATTTTTTTTTATATAGAAAGAGAAGTATGAGAATGTGTATTCTATAAATTATGTGTTTAATAAAAAAAAATATCTCATCTGCAGAAATTGCATAGGCCAGAACTTCGCTATGAATGAAATGAAGACTACGATAGCCAGAATAATTAGGAAGTTAGTTTTGATTTTTTCTACACAGCCTTATCTTAGCTCAATACACAATGAATACAGTTGTAGGCTCACCAACCCGATAACTAATATTTTTATCGCCCTAAAAATCAAAATTTTTCTCTCAAAATTTAATTTTTTTATTATTAGATAGAAACTTTAAAATTATATGGTTTGCAATAGAGTTCTATTATAATGTTTAAATAGATTTTGTTGAAAGTTTATATGATCTAACTATCTTCAGATTTAGACTGACCGTGGATCAGAAGAATAATGTACGACGTTTACCGATGGTCACCATGAAGCCAGAGAACAAAGTCTTGTTGTTCGCTTCGGCCAGGGATTAGTACTTTCTGTTAGAGAGTAGGCCTATATATATATATATATATATATATATATATATATATATATATATATATATATATATATATATGAGTGTATGTGTGTGTGTATGCGTGATTGTGGTAGCTTAAACTTTAATGTTGCCCTACACTCTGTACCTCTCATCCACGCAAACTGTGAAAATGTTGCCATAAGGTACTCTTTCCAATAGTTATTACAATTTTGTACTAACCTACGTAGCCGTAATAGTACTCTTTAAGTTTAAACCTGTGGTTTTAAGACTATTGTTTATTTATAAAGTGACACTCTGTTAGTTACTTCCCATTTGGTTAACTTAATTAAACAAGAGAAATAACTTTTAAAAAGCCAATAATTTAATGAGAAAATAAAGCTTGATACTTAATTAAAATATTTACTAAAATACAGCTGCAAAAATATTATTTTATTTGTTAAGGAACATTTTAAAAGTTTTTTTATCAAGTTTTAATTTGTTATAGTTTTAATTAAAATACAAAACCTTTTACATTTATAAACAAGTATTTATATAATTACAATAATTCCATTTGATTTAATGATACTACAGCATTGTTCATGCGAAATTTTTTGTTTTCACTATCCTTGGATTCTTCGTCCAAATGACCCCACCCCTGTGTTGAAATACTGTGTTAAATACTGAGGGTGATGTATTATCAAAATAAATTGCTAACAACATTAAATTGACTCCCACCCCCACAATCCCCATGTTCCCACCTCGTTTCGCATTATTCATTATTTGCCATTAAGGTTCCTATTGTTACTTTTTGTGTGTTGCTTTATTATACAGCCTACAAAGAGACATTGTAAAGACATTATTTGACACTATTTTACTATTACCTTATATGTTGGGTACATTGGTCCACCACGTACCCTTCTCCTTTTGTATTCATTTTATTGTCTATAAATTAATACTTACAATGGTTTTATTAACTTTAATAACATGTAAAGCCTTATTTGAACACTTTTATGAGAACACTGTTAACCAATTTTTGACCTTTAAAGCTCCCCTATATCCCCACACCCACCCCTAACCTGTCGGTACTAAACATCCAAATAAACATAAACACTACTCAGTCCACCGACTTGCACATACCAACCTTTCACCCTCCCGCTTAATGGCTCACACAGCCATCTGTTCGCCAAATCACCCCACCCCCACACTATAAATAGTAACACCTCAGCAGTTAGATCTCACAGCACACAGATTTTGACGCTTGGCTTGCCTTAAACACATACAGACAATCTCTCCATGCCTAGTCATAAGCCTCTATCCCCCCACCCATCTTTCTTCTTCTTCGTTCTTAATTTTAGTGTTGGGAGGGATCGAGCCTTATCTGCCAGAGGGTTTGAACTCGAGACTTTTCGGTTTAGCAACCATGAGCTTTACCGACTCGACCACGCCGACCCCACCCTCAGACATGATAAACCCACATTTTTTTAAACTGTTCCAACGAAACAGGTGAAGTAGAGTTTGGTAGATGTAGAGTTCACCGGTGACGTCAGCATAAGAAAGGATCGTATGGTCAGACCCATGCTTAGCCAAAATCGGTTTTAAAAGACAAAAACATGTCGGAATTGAGGGGACACAATGTACAGAAGAAGATGAGTTGACCTGTTTTTGTGACCTCAGCATATTAAGGAATAGTGTGGTCAGACCCATGTCAGCCGAGGTCTTTTTGAACGTGGGGTATGTTTTTTGTGTGCGTATAAGTGACGAAAGTTATGTCATTTATCCAAAGGATGACGGGTGGTCTAGTTATGTTTATAAAACACTTTACATGAGTGTAGGAATTGAAGGTTTGATGGTGAGAGGTACCAAAATGTTTGGCAACCCCATGCACGTAGGATCAAAATGCTTTTTTTTTTGTTGTATTGTTTAAAATTCGTTTTTACTAAGGTCAATAGCCATGTACATTTTTTTCAATAAAGCGGTTAATACCGTCATTAGATACGTTGTATTTCGTCCACATATTGTTTGATCATAAAGTTTATGACTTTAGGTTTTGTCCACAGATGGGATTTTCGACTTCCTTTTCGTCCACATAAAGCTTACTTGAAATTATATTAAATTAACAAAAAAAAACGAAGAGAAAAAAATTATATTTGCATAAACCCCTTACCCCCAACAACAACAACAACAAAATAGCTAAATAATTAAAAATCTAGTACTGTCTTACTCGTTACAACACACAAGTAAATTCTGAATGCGATCTAGAGTTTAAATATTTTTTTTAAGATAAAACAGAACATTCTTTGACAAAATAAAACAACACTAGAAATCAAATGTTATAACAAACCAGTTACATTCCTGATAATTTGCCACCTTAATTAATATGGAATATTTCAATTAATTAATTTGTAATCTGATTATACAGAACAAACCTGACACTGTATTACACTTAACGTTGTCCTTTTATAAGTCGTTTGAGGGAGATACGAGGGGTGACAATCAGATCAGTTTATTGGAAATTTGTAATTGATACATCCCACAATTTATAGAATATTACCTTCTGAAAGTTTGATGTTTGACAGCGTAACGTTGGTACCACTATGTATGGTTACTGTTGTTGTCCTTGAATCAGGTGTTATGGTGATATATTATCGATACATGTTCGAACTGATAACTGACCATTATTTCAGGGTGTAAACATTTAACCTTTGAGCCCGCCAGCCCGGTAAACCGGCTTCAACATTAGGCATATATGTCCGAAAAGCCAGTTTTCCGGCCCGATGATCTAGCGTCATATTCCTAGAGGCCGGTATACCGTCTAATTAAATATAATTAGCGGAAGACTGACTAAAACTGCGCATGTCTTTTGCGTGCTGGATTATGATTCTAAAAATAGATTTTTAGGAAAAGTGAAAGTGTTTACATTTCGTAGCAATGCTTCCGAAACGAGAAGCTGAGCCACAGCCGTCGACTTCATCACATAAAGCTGGTGCAAAAGATGAAGCAAAAGACCGAAATATCAACAAAAGAAGTAGAATGACTGCATCTCAGGCAATACAACTACTTATTGATTCTGATGAAGAAGATAATATTCCTGGTCTATATTGTGATGATAGTGACGTTAATTTTGAGACTGAACACAGTGAATTGAAATTGACAATGACAATGAAACTGTTCAAGTACGTTCTGATGCACGTGGTGCTGTAAAACTTCAGTCTCCTTAGCGTGTGGATAATAATTATGTTCAAAAGTTATAGGCAAAGTTAGAAGCAGAGAATTGAAACTTGGTTTGGCCCTGGGAGCTCAGGAAATGGGAGAAACTAGGCCAGGGCTCAAAGGGCTCTACGACTAATTCGCGCAAGACACTTGCCCAAATGTCGAATACGACAAAATCAAAAATGGAAACTTGTCTGAATGCGACTGATACCCGAAAGCCGTTCGCCCGGAAAAATCCTTTAGTAATACAAGTCAAATAAAATGTGTAACATTCCATTACACATTTTCATTTTCATTTTAATATGTATTTTAATTTTTAATTAATTGTTGTTGTTTTTTTTCAATAAATCCAGAAATTAAAGGTCTCCTATCTTAGAACAATAGCAGAGTCATAAGAACGTGTTTTAAACTGTTTGCCTTTAGGTCAATTTTCTATAAAAAATAGGTGATTTTGTTAAAACAATATTCAAATGTCTAGAAAAAGAAAAATACACGTAGATAATTACTTCCCATTAGCACGGCCTAAATAAATCCAAGGTAGGCTACGTAAAAATATTAATTTAAGATTTAAAAGGTAATAACAAATGTAATACAAAATAATAAAAAAAATGAAAAATGTGTATAAACCACAATGTTTAGCATTATAAAAGTATGCATATATTGTATTTATAAAGACTTAATTTTTGTTTCTAGAATTTTGTTAATTATGAAAACCATAAAATTATAAATTTATTAATCGGTAGGAGCGCATCATTCAGATTAAACAATCATTCTAGCATGCTTTTTATTGCCCTTCGATATATACCAATTGTTTGATAAAATAGAACTTTCTTGAGTCTATGCTGATATTACCAACGCTCATTCTTGTTCCCTCTAAGTTGAGAGACCCGAAGAGGAGCCACCTGAACATGGTTCGGGTGGCTTAATGAAATCATTGGTCCACCATTTTCAGATACAGCGAAGTGAACAACCCTGACAATTGAAGTACCTGAAGAAGAAAATCCTGATCTTTTCTCGACTCAACCAACACCAAGTACAGTCATGCAGGTGGTCATTCAAGCCGTGCCAATCTACGTGGACACATCATCCGAAAACTCATCAGCACACACCAAATATTGCTAATGAACTACATCAGCCCACACCAAATATTGCTAATGAACTACATCAGCCCACACCAAATATTGCTAATGAACTACATCAGCCCACACCAAATATTGCTAATGAACTACATCAGCTCACACCAAATATTGCTAATGAACTACATCAGCTCACACCAAATATTGCTAATGAACTACATCAGCCCACACCAAATATTGCTAATGAACTACATCAGCCCACACCAAATATTGCTAATGAACTACATCAGCCCACATCAAATATTGCTAATGAACTACATCAGCTCACACCAAATATTGCTAATGAACTACATCAGCCCGCACCAAATATTGCTAATGAACTACGGACGAGGAGACACATGGTTCTTCTCATCAGAAATCTTTAACGTGGCAGAACTGAATAACACAACTAAACAATACGGACCTTACTCACTACACTTTACAATCTACCATAAGGACAAAATCAACGGTATACTCAGATGGGTCCCTACCGCACTCAAAAACGGCACCCTGCTCAAATAAATAAGAATAATTAGCAAAATGGAACCATCCGTAAACAAAATCACGCATACCTACAATCGAAGCTTCACCATCTTCACAGATAACCCGTCAACCATCCCTCACTATATCAAATTCAATTACAAAAACAAAGCGATTAACGTTCTCATAGCATTCCCAGGAAGAAAAC